TTAACAAAGCATAACAGGATTCCTACAATTAATGGAGACAAAACAAGTAAGGTAACACTGAAAATGACGTATATAGGGCTGTCATAAGCAAGTCATAATTAATTTGATGATCTATCAATTACTCCATCGATTTCTCGGGGAATAGGTTAATGTAAATAGGTACTTTGTTAAGTAATGCTTTTCAGATGTCCATTGTAGTGGTAAAAGAGGCTTTAATCATTGGAATAATTGTTGATGGACTTGGACATAGTCGCATATGTCTAGAATGAATACTTTGAACACCCACACTCATGTCCTCCACTGCCCTGAAAACGGACAGTTCTTTAGTTTTCAGTGAAAAAATTATTTTGGGTAAACTACCAGTATATTGAAAACAAGTTCATTTCTCAAATGTTTGCTCTTTTAGTTGAATCTTTTCATTCTGCACAGTATTTGAAGTGAGTGTCAGGTCAATTCCAGCATCAGTGAAGTGACAGACCTAGAGAAGAAGAGGCTAAAGGAAATCTGGGCTCCTGACAGACAACCAAATAGCTTTTAACACCCACAATGACCTTCAGGTTAAAAACAAGTGTGCACACAGACACAAATGTCCGCCGGATGTGAACATAAACCATTATGCACTTCCCTTATTACTGGGAGTCATTCTTGGCATTTTGCCATTTTAAATGTCACAGACTCCTCTAGAGGGTAATGACTGATCAACCTCGGCTGGCGTCCAGTATAAGCTTGCATAATTTCTCAATAGGCATTTTTTAAATGCAGATTGAAAAGCAGAAACAAAGATTTAATGATTCTGATTCTGAAATACAGGCTACATTCCCTTTCTATTTCAAACAAAAAGGTTCACATTTGGTAATGATAATGCTTGTTGAAAATGACAGTCCTCCATAGGTGAAAAAAAAAATGTTTACATTGTGTATAATGTTATGATATGGTTCACAAAAGAATATCCTCAAAAAAAAAAAGGAGGTATTATCAAAGAATATCTAATTCTCATATCCTCCAACATGAAATTGCAGTTTATCGCTGACTGACATAGCAAGAGACTGCAAGACAAGACAAGAATAATGCTGCTGAAAGGCACACAGCCTTACTCAGTTTCTCTGTTGAAGATGAGTTGTCATGCTTTGACCGGTGAGAGCCATGAGCATTGGGAATTGAGAGAAAAGAGAAAAGGGCGGTGGGGCAGCTCTTAACGCATGAATATGACAAGATCTTAAGTTTGAAGCCCAACTAATTAAAACATTATCATTGTGACCAGTGCATACTATATGTCAACTCAGGACATACATATTGCAAAACAAAGAACAATTGAAAATTGTGAATCTGATCAGACTTGGAGAGCCATAAAATTATAATTGGGTGGAGTTTGATAAACATCCTATTTCATAAAAGAAACTGGGGAAAAAAGAAAAACAATAAGGACCACCACTCAATATTTTGTCCTGTGAAGAAGAAGCCTGGAGGTTTTGTATCAACACTGACTGTTCTTTGGAACTGTTCATAATTCTCTCCACCTTCAACGAAGAATGCCGCAATTATGCTTTACTGTAGTAGTTAGGGTGTTCGTTTGGTGCTAAGTAGCGTTGTACTTGCTTTCAAATATACCTTTTGCATTCATGGCCAAATCAGCTATGGTTTAAAAGGTTTGAAAAAACACCCTTGGAATCTCCCAAATGCATGGGAAAATGAGTTCTGGTCCGATGAATATAAACTGTCACAAAAACCTGGAATTGGAACTGTGGTGTGTAAACATTTTATGTCAACTGTGTATGGTCTCCCAGAAGACAATAAAAAGCATAAAGTATATATTGTATTTTCACCTCACCAACAAGCTGCCCAATCACACGTATCAATGCAGTTGACACATTGCCAAAAAACACAAGCATGTCACATCAATTATCCAGAACATTTGACTATGTGCCTTTTTATCAGGAGATGATAAGGTAGTGTTAATCTCTGCCAACAATGCAGTTCTGTTTAGTGTTTGGATTGCGCGTTGTCTCACCCAGCCTAGCTGTCACGTCGTGTGGACTGAGAAACTACACCCAGGACAGTATTATGGAAATTTGCCCCCATCTTCGATCATACTATGGCATCACTCAGAACGACTTGCACAGAGCCACTTTTTCGCACAGAGGTATCTCACAAATGAATTATGTGATTGTGTTATTTCACACTTGACTATTTGTGATTTTGGGGATAAAAATGATACCTTCTGTTCTTCAATTTGTTGTTCATTTGAATGCCTGGTACCACTAAAATGTGTATCATGTGTTTTAACAGAATGAAAAGGAAACCTGGAATGCCTAAAGTCAAAGTCTTTGGGCAGTACAAGAATATAACCTATTAAAGTAAGAACTTAAGTGATTTTTACTATCATGGAGAAAAACATGGCCAGATAGCAGGTGTTAAATTAAATGTTATGATATATTTTTGTCGTCATCATACTTGTCTTAACAAATGTATCTTTAGCTGTACCAGAAATTTGAAAGGAACAAGAAACTGAACAAGGTTAGTCCAATATTTTTTCCCCATAACTGCATACGCCAATCTCAAAAAAGAAAAAAAACATAGTACAACATAAGGCAAACAAATGAGTTAAATATGACACAAACTCAACTACTCAAACACACATATGACAAGGATTAATGTCCTTATAACTTCATTCATGACATTCATTGTGCTACGCAATGCATTCTGGGAACCAAAAAGGAAAGGTTTACAGTTGACCCCCACTTTTCATGGGAAATAGGAACCGTGCCTATTGAAATGCTTTGCGGGAAAAATATCATATGATTTTATACATTGCATATTGTTTAAATTAATCAGCTCATTTCTTTGGAATCCACTATTTACTTCTGCCAAAAATCTGCATTGGCCTCATAAAAGCCCATGCAGGTCGGCCCCTCTTACTAATAGCGGGACTTAATGCTCTTTGTGTAGTGTGCTAGGGCACATATTTTTTTAGGCGACACGTGATGTGATGTCAGTTTGCGCTGGCGTGCTATTTAGGCTAGTTTGTTAGCTAATACGATTGATGAGCTAGCTTCATGTGATGGTGGTTTGTGTTGAATAATTTAAGTCCTGAATACAGTCATTGATGTAACATGAGTTCACTAATTTTTTCAGAAAAAGCTAATATTACATCCTTGCATGATTGTGTACATGCTAGAAACATGGCGTTGATGATTTATGATCCTCTCCATTTCACATGCTGACATGCACACTAGTGTATACTCAATTACAAATCACTTTAGAAGGTCAATTTTGACCTATACTGTACGTGCCAGGGCTCTCTGCCAATGCCCTGTGAATAGCAGTATCAGTCCAATTCTGTTACTCACAGTATCTACTAATAACATACCATACCGTCGTGAGAAAATGACTGGACTTTGAGGTAACTGCTTGCGCCTTTTCCAGCCCAAGAAAATGTACTGCGTTATTCTCAAACTCCGAGTCAAGTGTCAGGAGTACCAAAGCAGTGCCCTTGATGATGCCACCTCAGTGACAAGGTATCGTCCATCAGAAGATTCAGTGATTCAATTCTTTGACAGCATCCATCCCATTTGTGCCACAGTTTGCAGGCTTACTCAAAGGCAGATGATCGCATGTTTTATAAAACTTTCACATATCCACTTTAGGGAAGAAGCTAACCACATTTGTTTTCTCTTTTTGAAAAAGGCAGGCAAGTGCAGTATATTCTCATTTTTGAGGTTGAATTTATGTAACCCACATGTTTGGAATAAGTGCCTCATACTTTCTCATACTCACTGTTGCTGACTATTGTTCTTTGTTTGAATATAACTTCATCAAGTCTCTTCTAACATTTCATTCTTGGAAAAAAAAAGGAAAGGATCATTCCTGCAGATATCATATCGTTTCTGTATCGGACAGTAGGCTGCAATATCAGTATCATATCGGACGTGAAAAACTTGTATTGGAACACCCCAAATAATTAGACTAATGCCAATTGTCTGCAACTGTTGTAAATGGTTTAAGTACACTGAGTTAAGAACATTTAGCCAATTAACCAGTTGGGCTGCCCACACACAAGTCAAGCGTGTGTACCAGTACACCATCAACGACCCATGCCAATAAGTAATATTGTCTGGTTCTGATCAAATTGCTGCTATGATAATATAGCCATGCTATTCTCCACCACTGTTTATGTTTGCATCATATAAACCACACTGGTTATTTAAAATGGCCAAATTTCAGATGAGATGGATTTGTCTGATGATAAAACTGGTATTCACACAAGTAAAGTGCAGGTGCAGTGCAGTGAAGTGAGAATCTGAGCAGTGTTGTCCAAGAAAGAGAGCTGTGCATCAAGAGGCTGCCTCACTCAAAAGTGACTAATCTGCTTTGCAATGTCACGACTCGTATATGTTTTGACAATTTTTTCAGAAAAAGCTAATATTACATCCTTGCATCTTTTTTTTTTTTTTTTTAATAAAATGGTGACTTTACCTCTCAATGTGTGCATCTTTCTTTCCACAAATTCCACCTATACTTTTTGAAAATATTCCAAAGTTGAACAAAAACAACAAGGTGGTTGCAGACTTAGGCCAAGATTTGACTACCCCTCACTGAAACCAAACCACTAATCTAATGCATCTGGGAAGATCTGAACGTAGCACGACTACATAAACAATCGCTCTCAGGTCTTGCAGCAGAAGCAGAAGTCATATGATGTGTGTGGCGGTGATAAAAAAAACACAACACAGCAACAATTTTACATCCCCTACATACAGACTGGCTTGTCCTCCAAGCAACCAGGAAATAAAAAAAATCTCTTGGAGAGAACGCGGAATACTTTGTGTGTGTGCGCCTTTGTATCCCTTGTAGTATAGTTACCAGCATTAATCATTTACATATTCATTTAATGTGTGTATAGCAGCAAGCATGCAAAATTCAGTATAGACCATTACTAAAAAGTGCCTGAGCCTATTTTGATGCACTTATTTTCCCCTGTCATGAAAAGAGATTGGACTTACAGATCTTGTGCTTCCCTTTCATTGGGAATTTCACCAGCAGCTCCAGGGGGTTAGTGCAGATGAAGACAAATGGGGAAGCAGACTCTTCACATGTACTAGGGAACTGTGGGTAGAAATGGAGAGAAAATGGCATTTAAATGTTGACTGAGCGTGACCATATTTTCCACAGAATGTTTAACTGTGATCCCCTGTATCTCTACAATGAATCATTCAGTGTTCAAGCACATCATGTCAACTGACTTAAGCCTACCAGGCCCTTCTACACTATAACTGTAACTGGGAATAAGACAACATGCACTCAAACCAACACCAACCGCAAATCCTGAGTCTTTTTCAGAGTCAGCGCAAAATCAATTATTGACTTATCACAAAGTTTGCATGCAAAACAAATTTGTAATAACGAGAAGATGTTTTCCTTAGCCCGAGAGACAAAGGGAAACTATTTCTCCATGTGTTATTGATTGGTCTCTCAGGTAAGAGTAGGGAATTGACTGACACAGTGACAAAGGAGTCATCTTTTCCATCACTGGCAGCCAATGTCTCTCAGCTCATCCAATTTCCCCCGGTACTATCAGATAGTGCCCATGATTGCATCGAGGCAGCCAGGAAGCGGCTCTCTTCCTGACAGCATGCTTCCACTCCCCCACGCCTCCCCTCTCACTTAATCACAGCCTCTCTATCTCCCTCGAAGGAGCACTGAAGGTTGTGACAAATTTGGGGCTTTTAGGGGAGATCAGCAGAGTCAGTAACCCAGCCATATGGTCTCTGACAAACTGGGAAGAGATGATAGAGATATTCGTTTCAGATTACAGTCTGTGACCGCTGGACCAGAGTGCAATACACAAGTGATAAAATATGTAAACACTCAAGGGTAGTCAAAGATAGATGGTGACTCGAGTCAAGCCCTTTCTCTCCTTCATCCTATTGTACATTCCAATTAAATTAGGGTCTTGTGGTCAAGTACACCAGCCTCAGGTTAGGACATTTCTAACCGTCCTTGAGGAATTTGACCGCTGCTTTTTTAAAGCTGATGGTGGTGAAAATACAATGAAATTTGGCTGTACTTTATTTCTTTTTTGTGCCAACATTAGTTCAAAGTACAGTAAAATGAACCAATTAAAAAGCATAGCAAAGCATAACCTGTCCAAAAACAATCGATTGTCACTAACATTTATGTGCGCATGTATATGTGTCCACAAAACATATCCTGAAAATATTAGAACGAAAGTCACAATATTTATTTTATTCACATCGCAAGAGTCACCAATCTTCATTTCACCTCCGAGAGCAATGGTCCCCAACCGCCGGTACCAGGCTGCGGTGGGACGCACAATTGAAAGAATCACACACTTAACAGTACTTCCGGTTTATTATTCAAGGCTGAAGAATATTTTCTTTTGAAACAGTCGTAGACATTTTTGCAAAGTTTCTTTGCAACGGGGGAAAGGCCCAGTGATGAAAGAACACAAGGGCTTATGACCAAGAAGAAAAAAAAAGGTGTATTTCACAGACAAGAGCAGGAGACCTAATGAAATATGGATTTCTCTGCACCATAAGCGGCGAGCTGCTCTTGATTTAGCGTTATGGAGAGTTATTCATGGGCTTGGTTTGTTCTGCGGTGCCTTGTAATACTGGTGCATTTCCAGAGGGTGCTACTAAAATACAGTGAAACTCATCTACAACAAAACCTACATGTGCGAAAATAACTCCTACTGTGAAAAAACCATCATGCATTAAAGCCATTCCCCATTTTCTGCTTCCCTCTACAACGAAAAGTCCCCCTGTTGCGTAATACGAAATCCGATTCTCCACCCTTGCCTCGTAATGACATTCACTACGACGATAACAAGTCTTCCGCAAAAGTCCAATCCAACCTCAGCCTGTCACAGCGACTCCTACTGCTTAGCTAGGAAACGGCAACAACCACCACACTGGCTTACACATGCGCAGTAGTACAGGAAATATTTGTTATTGTTAGCACGTGGTTAGAAATGTCATTCGTAGTTTCAGACACAGCACAAACGTTGCATTGCTTGGTATAAAATGGCTACAAAACGGACCTTTGCAGAACAAGACTCTTCACAAGGAATCAAGAAAAGAAAAGCTTTAACACTTGAAGACAGGATAAAAGTAATAAAGATGAAAGATGGAGGAAGCAAACTAAAAGACATTGTGCAGGAAATTGATGTAAGTGAAAGTGAATGCTGATTGTACATTTCACAATTTCTTTCCCTTTTTTTTCTTTCTACGCTGGCTATATGAAGTGTCAAATAAGTGTATGCTCATACTTATGCGCTATTGGAATAAAAATTAAAAGTACACATCTACGTTTTTTTGTGTGTGTTTGTGTTTACGTCCGAGATAAAATTCGCTATAGTGAAAAGTCCCCTGTTGTGAAAAATTTCTGGCTGCAAACATGATTTCGTTGTAGAGGAGTTCTACTGTAGTTACATAAAAATATGGCTCTGCATTTAATGTAGCTTCACAAAATACCACAATTTTTGTGTTGCTTGTATCATTCATAAACCTCAGGTCTGTTCTGTGGCGTCTGTTGTGTGTTTAAACATTATCTTACTGATCATATTAAAGCGTTGTTGTTTGCCTTGTTACAGTGTTGGTGCCTAAAGGAACATAAAAATACACAGTGGATACTCGTTTGTTGTGGTGGCAGACGCGTGCAGTTCAAAACGGGCATTTCCGCAGTTGTGGGCGTGAACACAGCTGACTTGCATTCCGGCCAGTGGATGCGGCTCCTATCGGTTAACATAGCGGAAGAAGAAACTGACTTGCTGGAGTCCATGCAGGAGACTGACGCGTGCAAAGTACGCTTATAAGGAACTGCAGGAAGATCTCCACTGGTGGATGATGTTAAGTTGGCCACAGCAATCACTGATCACCAGGGGCCTGGGTTGGTGATTTTAACAATATAAAAACATTTTTAAATTCACGTGTTCAATGAATTCATTTGTGGGTGGCCCAGTGGTTGACTCGTTAGCACGTTGGCCTCACAGTACACAGGTGCAGGGTTCGATTTCGGCTCCGGCCTTCCTGTGTGGAGTTTGCATGTTCTCCCCATGCCTGCGTGGGTTTTCTCTGGGTACTCTGGTTTCTTCCCACATTCCAAAAACATGCATGATAGGTTCATAGAACAGTCTAAATTGTCCCTTGGTGTGAGTGTGAGCGCGGATGGTTGTTCATCTATGTGTGCCCTGCGATTGGCTTTCAGAGTGTACCCCGCCTCCTGCCCGACGTCAGCTGTGGTAGGCTCCAGCATGCCCCGCGACCCTTGTGAGGATGAACGGATCAGAAAATGGATGGATGGATGGATGGATGGATGGATGGATGAATAGAATAGAATTGATTTGTACAATAATTCAGAATGTTTGATGCAAGCTGTTGTCATATCTGTGAAATAACGATGAAAACACATGCCCGGAGCACAGTGCTCTCTGTATTTCGGTCAAATTTACCCAAAGCACTTTACACCAATTGCGCTACAACTTAGACCTGCTTCCAGTAGGCATAAAGTTTAGTCTACTTTCAACCACCAAATTGTCTAGTGCATCAAGGGTGTTTAAAATAAAACATACTCAGTCCACCGCAGCGCAGTTTGCTAAATTCTCAAACACACTAAATGAGGCTTGCACCGGCACAAAACTCAAGATGCGCCAGTTTTTACGTCCGAGCACATAGGCAATCTCAACAAAAATAGAGCCCAAAGAATCACAGCTCGAAAGTATTGAGGAAAAATCGTGCATGGTCTTAAATTTAAGATGAAACCAGAAACCTTAGTTCCTATGAATCCCCCATTCCCCTCCAGCTGACTATTTTTTTTTTTTTTATCCTCCATTAGCTAATTAGCATTTTAAGCCGTTGAATGTGCTACTTTGCCTACAACCCTCCCCCATCTAGTTTTTTCAATCCCATGTTAATCAAAAGGGCACTTTACATTGTGGTTGAGTGACAAGACGCTTCGCTAAAGCACTCCATATTCATCGGGAAGGCTCTAACAGAGTGAAAGAAGACTTGCTTACAAATTCAATTGATGTTGCGAGAAACACACACATGCACACACAAATAGGATATTAACTAGATTCACATGAAAAGACTGCTGGTGAGAATAACTGCCAGATCAAATTAATTTATGGGCGATCCCAGTCCAAGTGGCAATTCTTCAAATAACTCATGTCAGAATGAGGGTATGTTCGGTCTGTGGCAACAAAAATCTGAGGCGGTGCATTCGTTGTGACATGAGCATTAAAAATGCATGCCTTGAGTTTTACCACCAGTTACAGATGATTCTCTGCAAAATAAAGCTATGCCGTGGATGACAGTGATGCAGGCGGCGACGTATATTCTACAATTTAACAAAAGTTTATAAAAGATGATTTATAAAAACAATACTAAGTAGAAATAAAAGAAAAATCGAATGGAACCTTCACAACCTCAAGAGACAATTCAATAAAAAAAGTTCACTGATCATTTCACTTTGAATTTCAGAAAGGACAGGACAGCAACCCCACAGACCAGAAGGCTGAAATGAATCATTGCCTTTTCAAAATGATAGGTGCTATACAGTATATGGTAGGGGCAAAGACAGTGCACATATTGTAGGGGGAAGATGTTAATAGCCTAAAAGCATAATTGCTCAAGTCATTTTTAACTTACTTTCATAACTGTAATGACAAATATGAATGTGCTTGCTAGAACTTGCATTTGTTCTTTATGTCTGTATAGATTCTCAGTCATTCAGGTCATGGTAATCTGCAAAGGTTGAATTAAGGCAACTCGACATCTGGAATTTCAAAACTGACTTTCAAAATTATGCTGTAAATTGAAGGATTTTTTATCGTAACCAGCAGGTGTCCATCTACTGCAACATTATAAGAGTCACATTATGTGGTTAAGTCAAATAGCATTTCTTGTATAACATGCACCAACAAGGGGTGTTTAAAAAAACAAACAAAACATTTTTAGTTACGCATTTTTAGTTAGTGCTCGCGTGTGATTAGTGTAAAAATATGTCAAAATGTTTTTACGTCATCGAAAAAAAATCCATAAATGTTTAAAAACAATGAAAATTGTTCTTGCTATGAATGTACC